TGATCCTTAAGCTCTATTTCATCCAGCACTCTTGCCCCCCCCCCCTCCCCATGTTATACACAGTTCACGTTTAAGAAAGTCTTTCGCAAATGAGAAATCGTATTTCTCCCAGTCTTGATACCCATCACACGAAATGCACTTAAATGTCATTATCTTGAAGAAGTGATAGACGCTAATTCCATTGAAGTTCAAATGTATTATACGTATATATAGACACATCGTGCTCCTAAACTTTGAATTCAATGTACAATTACGAAGAAATTGTTTTTTTTTCTTTTTTTTTTTTTTTTTTTGGATATTCGTGATACATATCCACCAAAGTCATACAAGAAGATTACGGAGCAGAAACTTCGTTCTTAATCCTTTTTTTCTTTTCTTTTCTCTTTTTCAATATCGGAGCTTCGCAATTATATGCAACACAAAGCGTTCCACGGTGCGCACATTTAAAACGGTTTATGTGGCATCTACTAAAAGAATAATTGTTTCCGATTAATTAATCGTTAAGAGCGTTTTCACATACATACTTCTTAAAAATAAATAATTTATGATTGCCCCGTCATAAACTACTCTGCAATTTATACTGTATATATTTATAGTACAATCATCCAAAATTAGAGACACTGATGAACGCAATGTCTTGTTAAAAGTAACATCGACGCAAAGGCCCGACATGCCTACCAAAGTAAAACTTATACAAAAGAAGATGAGACATTATATTGCATCGAATACACGCGTTTCAATTTTACACTTCTCCATTCTTCTCTCTTTTTCTTTTTTTCTTTTTTTCTTTTTTTATTTTTTCTCTTATTCATGCAAGAAAAATATATTTGTTGTGACTGCCGTTCGATAAATATAGCTTTATAGACATGGTAATTAATTTGTATTTAAATCGTTGTATTTGTTGCTTCCTGTTTTACTTGCTCGAATATATTAATCTACTTAAACTACCTTTGGCAAATATATCCTATGACTTGTACAAAGTTTAGACGAGAAGCTTACAATGATACAATTAATTTTTTCCCAATATTGTAAGGATATTTTTTTTTATATCATCTAAAAATTATTCTAAAAATATAAGTATCCGTGTATCTACAAGTAAATGTGATTATATATGCGTGGTTCTCGGTGTTTAAAACCCGTGAATGTGAGAAGATGAATTAGAAAAAAGAAGAAAAAAAAAATGAAGAATATTGTTTGAAATCAAGTCTCTTGTCTACTTTCTGTTTACTAGACATTTATTATAATAACGAATGTCGAGAGTATCAATTGTGAATGTTCAATTTCGCGAGCGCACAGATGTTTCTCGGGAGAAGTTCTGATTGATATAAGCTTTATTTTGCCAGGCATCAGGGCGAGTTTACAGATTATTACTTTAAATATATCGTGCTTCTTCCTAATAATCTGTTCCACCATGATCTCCATTCGAAACTCGAAGATCATTAATTCAAAATGTCTTCGTTAAAAAATTCTCTTTCTCTCTTGGTAAATAACCAGTTTACACAGCAATGGCTATATGGAGAACAGTGACGAATGACGACTGTGTATGTGTGTACGTTGATGCACGTTGATTTCTTATTCGCACGCACTTTAAAACAGGATAATTAACAATTCTCTTACCAACATTGACCACTGCCTCTCAGTCACATTTTACTTCACACGTAGTCAGTGGGAATCACAAGTCACTTGCGACTCACATTATACCTCTGCACATTTATATAGTTGGAAGTATTTAACTTAATAACTGGCTTCGTGCCCAGCGAGTATATACAAGTCTGCGCCCTCGGATTCAGTTAGTGTACCTGACTGAACCAAATGGCTCTCCAGCATCACAACTCTATCGAGAAAGAGAAGCAAAATTTTTATTTCTTTTCATTTCCAGACATTTATGTTCAAAACTCCGTTAATGTACGATACATACTTATCCGATCCAAGTAATCTGTACGTCCTACTCGGATCACTGATCTCTTGCGTGACTTCGCCATTTTTGAAACTCCTGCCTTGCATGCCATGCTTGTGGAATGCTAACACACTGTCTGGTAAGCAAACTGAAGGCAGAAAGATGATTGTAAATACAACTAAAGTAACCTATAGCGAAAACGTAACGTTCTTCTATAGAAACTTACTAATAGATTCAATTTGAAAATTAAAATGTAACTCTGACATGTGCTTCCTGCTCGATCTGGGTTTTCCTTGAAGCGTTACCACTTTCACTACGTCTGCAAGATGGATGTGTAAATAAGTTATAGATATTCAAAGAATGTTACACAAGATATCTTCTTATACTTACTATCATAACAAACTAATATTGCATTTTTTTCTAGTTGTGTAACATTGATAACATGAAGATTTTCTCTCCTTGGTATCACAGTGGCTATAAAAATTTAACAAGAAAAAAACAATAAGCATACTTTTTTAACTTCATTGATACGTGACAATAAAAAAAAACGTACCAGAACCGTCCATATCTTCCAATTCATCACTGTGAAACCAACTTGCCCCCGAGTTCATATTAATCAAATCCAACTTCAATTTGTTCTGCTGATATGGTTGTTTTACAGACACGCATACCATTGGATACTCCATTTCGGGAGTGATTATAATTTCGAATACGTTTAACGGCGTTGGTAATGTACAATCGAAATGCTTTAATAGCATAAACTTATTTAGAGGGTCGTACCATTGCATTAAAAATATCCCAGTAGGCATTGCACCGCATAAATATTTATACCTGCGTTAAATATTTCATCAGTCAATACATTGCGTACATATAAAAAAATGTTTATTTAAAATAAATGTTTTATTACCCGTTATATGGATTCCTCCCTACACAACACTTGGTACAGCCTTTCGTGTCTGGTACTTTAGTAGTTAGAGCAAATTTCCTAGGTACTAATCTCTCAGATATTTTATTCATATGCAATGAAAATCTATGAGTCTGTTTGCTTTGCATTGCTAATAAATCGTGTCTATACAATTGGGGAGTCTTTCCTAAAATTTAAGCTGTTCGCTATTGTGCATGTAATAATTAAAAGGCGATGCGTGACAATATCTTACCAGATAAAGACATAAGGACATCCTTAATAACATACATCCAGATCGTACGTCTAGGATACAATTGATCTATTGCGGTTTCATGAAGTTCATTTAAATTTAAATTATAAATCCCTTCCTCCGCCGCGATTAACAAATGCTGATCTCTCGTGTCCGGATGAATCCAGCTCGCGGTACAATGTATTCTCAATGGACATCCATTAAATACCTGTAGCAAAATTCAGAATCAGAGTGGTTGATACGATTAATTGGAATAAGATGAAGATAAACAAATCGAACAAACTTTTGAGAAACATGCACCCATATGAACTTTGGGCGTTGGTGGCAGTCCATTGCTGATCGGTCTGGGAGGTGTATGGCGTTTTCTATCCCTTCTTCTTGGAGGAACAGGAGGAGTGTCAGACAATAAGTCTGGACTCATACTTTCCCTGTCTCCTTCACTTGGCATCTCATTTTGACCTGCAAAAGATTACTTTAGTTAAACGAACCAAAAGAAATTTTAGAAGCATGCTAGCAGTATGGGTAATAAAATTATAAATATTCACACTAAAGGGGTCTTTTTAATGGAGAGTTTATGAGCTATAATTTGAAATTAAAAATTAAGAATGTTCCTACCATTTGATCGAGGGGATTCGTCTCTAGGACCACTGTCGGAAAGGGATCGTTGACGCTGTCCATTAACATTGGCTAAGGGTTGAGTACTGTTCACTAGACCGTACAACTCGTCCACAGAGCTGTGACGCCTAGGACTCGCTTGCGATCCTAAGCACGAAATCTTTTTATACTAACTATCATCTTGAAATCTTTTAGTATCTCAAAATTAATAAAATGATATTGATATCGATGAAATGGCTGTATAACTACATACTTACCCGATATATTATAATATGCACAATGCACTTCACAGTCATTCGATGACTCCCCAAGAGGAAGAGTAGCTCTAGAAAAGAACAAACAAATCGGCAATTATTAAGAAATATTTATCACTATCATATCAAGAAAAATGAGTGTATTAGAAATTTTCCTTTAAAGAAAGAAAAAAAAAAACAGATGTTACTGGTATTAGTAAATTACAAGTAATCTTTAAATAATAATTAAGAAATATATATTAATAATAATAATTAGTTGAGAATTCAAAGAATTATAGCGTCGTTTATGAAACTGAAAAAATGCAATGTGAAATTGTTAGAAGGTAAAATCAACATGTATAAAATCATGGAGTATTAAAGCATTTGTTATTGTACTATTTAGTAAGCATTGGTAGGTGTTTTTTGAAAAAGAATACAGTGTCTTACAAAAGGTGGTGCTTAGAAAAAATGAAATGTTTAAGCAAGTGTACATAACTGTACTTATTATTTATACAATGTTTGTCAATAAATAAACTTTAGGGAAAAAATTTAAAAATAATAATGATTTGTATGAGCTTTCTTTAAAATATCTGATTTTCCATGAATTTCAAGTATTGATTTGAATTTCAAATTTGATTTCCTAGTATCCTACACAATTTTCTTAAAATAATAAAATATTTCAGTGAACTATTTGAAGCTGGACTTAAACATTTATTATAAATGATTTGTACTGAATAAAAGTCAAGTGTTACAAAAGTAATAACGAAAACAACCGAATTGTATCTACAACCAAAAGATGGAACAGCCTACTATTACATTTTATCGTTTACTTACTGCAGGGAATATAGCTGGTCGCAATGCCCACCAACCATCGACATTGCATTCCCCCTGCACACATGAAACTATAATCATATACTATAAAATGATTACACATTCTTTTTATTATTAATCCTGTGGAATTTTTCATCAATATTCATACAATTACTTTTTTATGTACAAAATGATTCACTTATTTTATGGGGAATATATGGGCAATAGTTTTCTGTCAAAATAATATATATATAGGTATGTTTACTCATAAATAAAGGATATCATCTATTACCACACCAATTAATTGGATATCATTTCATTTGCTTTTATCATAGCTAAACTTATCAACGCTAAGTTACAAAAATATAATTGAAACAAATATTTGAAATCTTAATCTGATACATAAACTTCCACCACCAATATGGTTAACAGTTGTAAAAATTAATTCTAAAAAAAAAAAAGAAAAAAAAAAGATTTGCATGCAATAATAAACATTAAAAACATCTATTGCTAAAGAGCCATACTTTAAGAGTATAGACTCCAAAATCACAATATTTACATACGTGTGTTGAATGTTAATGTTCACTGGGAGTTTTGTAAAGGGTATAAATAAATTATTGGGATGAATCAAGGAAACGCATAATGCAAAGCAGCTTTAATCAATTTTAATGCTTCAAGTAAAATGCGAAAGAAATAGTATTAAAAGAAAAATTGATAAATAGATCTCAATAAGTTAATAAGAAGCTGTAGAAAGAACTAAATGGTTTCAATGTGAGGCATTAGGAAATATATGTGCAAGGTGCAAGGTGCAAGGGAAAAGGGTTACCTGCCAATACCTTAGCAACAACTCCTCATCAATGTACTGCAATAGACTCCTGTTGGGAGAAATTATTAAAATTACAAACTTATCAAAGAAATTAAAGCTATGAGAATTAAAATGAGCCGTGAGATTCGGACAAGGATTAGACGCAATATAAGGATAATGTAACAACTATTTCAAGATACTAAACTAATTCAAGATTACAAATCAGATTTTTAATTTAATAAAATATATGCTTCATAAACATGCCAAAATTTTATTACTTTTAATTAATTATATTATTTAATATCAATTATTCATCAATTACTGATTGCATAAAATATTACAAAAATATAAACAAATGTTTGAAATAATATTTTAAATAAAAGATATGAAAATAAATTTAACAAGACAAGATCTTTATATAACGAAAAAAATACGAGTGTAACAATAATACTTACGCAATGGGACTAGTGAATACATCAAGACTTTTTTGAACTTTCATTTTAATCATGCAACTAATTTATGTAACTATCATCATGCATACTTTATGGTATATAAATAAACAAATATAAATAAAAAAAATATAAATAAATAAAAATATTAATTATTCATAAGTTATAACAGTACTTATGAAGAAAAAATAAACATAAAGAAAAAGATTTATAATCATTAGCTTCATGCTTTAGATTTTTAGTCATCATTCTATAATTGAAATTGCATGCACGTCTACTTTGAGAACATCATAAGATATATTTTTTAAATTAAATGAATAATAGCATTCCATCTTGCTTGTACTTTTATATGTATCTGGAGAATGATATTAATGTTTAATTTCTTTAGGTAACAATTCAAAACCAACATATCATATCTTCACACTAAACTACCTGCATTTCATTACCTTAAACTCATATGAAATATCTCTGTGCCTGTATTGCCTTGATGACATTCTCTACTATCTGTTGTATCTGTTGTAACGCTAGCGCCAACAGTACTGATACAAAAATAAACTATATCATGTCTAGGAAGACTGTAGAATCATTATATACAACAACCAAGATATCATAAATTTCTTTCATTAATTTTTTATATGGCACAAAGAATAAAAATTATGCGAATAATTTCAATACTATAATTAAAAAAAAAAAAAAAGGATTTGAGGTCATTAGATCTCTAGAAGCATTAAATTTACATTTTTACTTTTCGCAAGTTTCCATTAATAGTTGATGCAATGTATGCAAAGCAAAAGCAGACGTGCCATACGCAGCTCGACATTTGTTAGATTAAAATTGCTGTTTTGTTCAATTCTCAACTGTATCGCGAAATTAAGATTTACATAAAATCTTCCAGATTGTAGTTGATAATTACTGTTCTGTTTAAGAGAACAGAAGACCAAAACAGCAATCACCATATTAGTGGAAGGATTTTAAAGCATCCCCTCCCTGAATTTTCCAGGACCACATGTCGATTTGTGTAATCAAATAAGTCTATCTTAATGTCTTACTTACTTTTCTTGTACTTCTTCGAATGCCGATCCGATACCGCAATCCGGATGAACATCACAGTTATGAACAGACTGAATAATTCAACATAAAAATATTATTTTAAATCTAACATTTAAAAATATGAAACATATTTTTCATAAAATGTGAAATCACCTTGACATTATTCATAATATCCATAATATCCCAAGATGGAGTAGTGTCCACAGAAGAAGAAATCGCATCTCTTTGTAAGGTTCCGTCAAGATTAATTTGATCTGTAACACGATTTAATATGTATTTGTAAAAATATAGGATGTATATTTGAATATAACGTCTTTACCGTCGCTGTCTAATTGGGGTATAGGACTTTTTGGTCTAGGTCTCGCGGTATGACGAGATGCTATCCTCTGTGGAACATTAGGTACAGCTCCATCTTCATCTGCTTCTAAATCAGTAAACATATGACTAGGATTCGATACTTTCTGCAACAATTCTAGAGCTAAACGTTTGCTCATTTCTCCTTGAAAAAATGCATGCTGAAACAGAAGAGTTTCTTTAAAATATTTTCCACATGAATATCGAATCAAATCCAATGTACATTATTGTATGTTCTAAAAGAAAAAATAACCTGCAGTAATTTTTCGGCAGTCGGTCGTTTTTTAGGATTTTTAGTTAGAGCAACTTTCACGAAATTGTGGAATGTTGGGCTCCATTTGTCGCGATCCTTCAACGTCGGCGGTTTAAAGCCAGATTTAGACATGAGAAAGAGTGCTCTCATTGGATGCAAATCAAACATAGGTGGTTGTAATTCAGCTAATTCTATTGCAGTGATTCCACATGCCCAAATATCACAAAGTTGATTATAACCACCTTTCCTTTCTACAGCTGCAACCTGTAAAAATTTAAAATATAGATTTCTGAGAGTAGCCTTTACAAAATTACTCGAAGAGATTTCAAAGAACCTCAGGTGCCATCCAATAAGGAGTGCCAATAAAACTTTTCCTCTTGTTAATAGTCGCAGTAATTTGTGCCGATACACCAAAATCAGCTAATTTGACGTCACCAGCCTCAGTCAGTAATATATTGGCACCTTTAATATCACGATGCATTTTGCCCATACTATGCAAATAAGCCAATCCCAAAAGAGTTTCTCTGCACATGTATGCTATTTGTATTTCCGATAATGGTCCAGTTACTATAACATCATTAAAAAACTTTTTAATACTGTGTAATATATCCTAGAAATGCGGTTCTATCACAAATATCTTTTTTATATGTTGATTGAAAATAAGAAAAACTATTGTAAAAATGTATTAATGAAATACCTACTGTGATATATATCTTGCAAAGAACCACCTCCACAATATTCCATACAAATCCATAATTTATCCCTCCTCAAGTAACTTCCATAATAGGCAATAATATTAGGGTGTTTACAATCTTTCATCATTAAAATTTCTTGCTGGATTATTGCAAAGTCATCCCCTATAATATTTAAACAATAATTTAATAGCACATCACTGTATTGCACAAAATTTAACAGTAAAGCAATTTAAAAGTAAAAATTAATGGTAAATCAAAAAAATATCACATTAACATATATTTTATTTGTATGTAATAAGTTGTGTAATCATCAGTAAATTAACAAATAGAGTGTTCCAATTAAATATAAAAAATATATCCTAGAGCTCTTCATGTATTATTTTAAAATATAAATGTACAAGCTTACAAGCTTTTATATTCATATATCTTTTACTAAAAAAAAAAAAAAAAAA